CGCACATGCGGAGACTGTGTCGATCGTTCTAATTGGTCAACGGCAGTGTAAAATCTATAAATGCTTTATTTAGCGTAACATTTGTGAACTGCTTTTCTGGAAGCACTGTATGCGTAAGGAATACCACATTTTTTGGTTGATCATTAACCATTTTCACATTCAAGTTTTGGATGAACAGAGTACAATTTTTCAATAAACAATTTAAATATACCTTCACTGAATACACTAAGGCTTCGTACAAGGATATCAAAAATACAGTTTGTGCTATTTAAGTAGAGAATGTAATCTTAATAACCTGAAGTGCCTTTGTAGACACGGTAAAGCATGATAACTTCAGCATACGTATGTATATTATATGCTAATTATTTGTGACACATTCTGACCTTTGTTGGAATGAGAGGAAAACGGATTTCATTTTTCAGTTACAAACTGAGCCATATGATTCATTAAAATAAAGAATGTAATCACTGGTTAAAATTTTAAATGCATTCTAAATTCACCAGAAGACAAAATTGCTCATGCTCAAAACAAAAACAGTTTTCATCTGATAAATACAAATTAAACTCACTGTTTTTTTTTTAGTCCAAAATTGCCAACCGTTCAGACATCAGCATTGCCCTAGGTATTGAATTTGTGCCTACATCTGCCACTAGAGTGCCAACGGTATTTGAAAGTTCAACAACGCTAAATAGATTGTTATCGTAAAACAATATGATTAATAAGGCTACACATTATATGATAAAAAATATAAAAAACGTGGCTCTGATTTTTACATACGATAAAACCAAATCTTCTAACAAACAAAAAGCTTTTAGAAAAAAAATGTAAAGCAGAGTAAATCACAATAACAGAAATCAGCGATATGAACTTTACCGGTTTTCTACGTGAAGAAAACACAAGCAAATATATACTGACTTTTTTCGATCCAGAGTTATGGGGGAACCAGAATTGTAATTGCATATTACAGCGTGACATGACATGGTATGTACAAATGCTTTGCAATCTCAGCAGTCGCTACTGTGGTGTGCTGGTGTATATATCTGGTAGCGTCGCTTATGTACATTACTGTACTCAACATGCTAATAAATTTAACGCGGAATGACGTTGACACATTCCATGAATATTATTCAAAGTGAAATTATTAATAGAAAGCATTTTTTTACGAAATGCGAGAATCAGGGTGTATTCAGTCTTGATTCCCACTCTGTATATTGTGGAAATTTGAAGACTGTATACGTTTTCTATCATACTAAATTGGTGCGCGTTTTATACTGGTTACCAGCGTGAGTATTGACATGCCTAAAACAGTATAGATTGTATACAATGTCACTCGAGACTGTTCCCGGTACCATAAGTCTAGAGTAACCTGTGTCAAAAAGAAGGTAAAACGCCTAGAAAATAAATTAAACAGGTTGCCGCAGGTAATACAGTGCTCTGGACTCCTGGAAAACAGAAAACATGGATTTAAGCAGTTTTTACAGAGTAGAGATATCATCAAACGCTTTGATATTTACACAAAACGAATCTATTTCGTAATTATTCATATTTTTGAACTGAAATATGTTTGTTGTTAACAAACAAATTAATAAAAAAAGCTTCAGTAAAAAAGCTGATAAATCCTTTTCAATTCCGAGAACGAGCATGACACAAAATAGTCAAATCTATTCTACTGAGATTACTGAAATATGAATAGAAACATAGAAACAGATACATAACAAATTAACTTAGAAAACGTTACAAACATTTTATATATGTTATATCTGGACAGAAGAGACTTGGTGAATCGAATTCAATACATAAGTAGAGAAAAAATACTTATTATATATAAGGAAGAGTACTTGTATGGTTTGTTGGGAACTGAAATTGTGAGCATTTATTTGGAAGTGTTCACATAGAATCACACTAAAAATGGGTAAAGAATTCAGTAATAAGTAAACGTAATTGATTATGCGATATTTGTTAGTGGGTGAACTCAATGAAGAATTAATTTTCGTTTTGTGTGAAGTAAAAGAAATATC